GTGATGGGGGCCGAGGCTGAGCCCGATTTGGTGGGCTCAAATGAACCATGGTACTTCCCATCGTGCATATGTATGGTATCGCCCGCGGCTGCCGATGACAGTGCGCTGTGCAGTTGGTCAGCGTTGGACACCTCAATGGTTTTACAGTTGCCGTAAACGGCGAGACAACTCAGCGTTAATATAATTGTGTACTTCATTATACAGTGTATATCTGTATGACAAATAAATTAATTATGGTTGTAACGCATTTATATACCTTGTTCAAGAGATAAAATGTTTTTAATTAGTAAATCCGGGTCTGTTTGTTATGATAAAAATTGAACTTATTGTTATTACATTTTCCATCGGATTATAGCGTGTATTTAATCTATATTTTAAGTATGCTAGTTTTCTCAAGGATTTATGTAAGAAATCTTATAAGGTTATCATGTACTTAAGTTATAAAAATATATACTGCTTATAATCCTGATTAATTAGTGCACATTGTTTAAGTACACACAATAATTAAAGAGATTCCCCTGCTACTATCTCACTCATAATTTACTTCTTTTAAGTATATTTATCATCGTGGGCAAATTAAAATATTTGTGTGTGGTAATAGTGCATGTTGAAATTATATTAGCTATAAATGAAAAAATATATTATTTATTGTATTAAAAATATAGATTTTATTTGCATTTACTACAAAACACTGATAAACATTATAATAATAATAAAACATGGAAAATATTTTTTATACAACGCCCTTAATGAAAATATTACTTGTTTACTTGCATGTTATTAATATTGACAGTCCGTTCTATTATAATTGAAATAAATTAATTTGTATTTTATCAATATGTCAATCTGATTTCTGTATTATCAATTTAATTAACAATACTTCATTGATATAGGAATATTTTATTCTAACATTATAATTTATTATTTAAATCCATATTATACTACATTATTATATAATTTATTATATAATTTATTTTTGAGCAAAATTTTAAATTTAAAATACAATGAATAAATTCAAATCCATTATAAGTACACTTAAGAACAACTCATTACACAGAATATTCTGCATATTCTGTGCGATGGGATGTCTGTATCAATGCTACACAATATGTGACATATATTTCTCGTATAAAACCACAACATTTGTAAATTATGACAACTTTTCTGTCATGTCTTTCCCGGCGCTCACCATATGTTTGGCCAAAATTGATGTCTTAAGAGATCAATACATCAGACAATTGAATATCACTTATAATAAAGCGGATAGGATCTTGATGATGGATAGAGTGAACAGATTTTGCAGTAATTATACGATTCGGGAACAGTTGGATGTATTGTTCAAAGACTATGGCGCTATATTTAATGGTTGTTTTATCTCAAACTCAAATATTGCAAATGATAGCGATATAACTGCATTTGATTTGTACGTTAAATGCTCTGACATTAGTCCATATCAGAAATCAATTGACTATCGATCGTAAGTATTTTAAATATTTTAATAAACCACATATATCAATTGCTCAATTTATGTACACCATGTAGCATTTAAGTTAAACTATTCATATGATATTTATAACAAGCAAAAACCGTAATTTAATTGCAACAAAATATAGGGTGTGTTTCACATTCATGTATCAATCGGGCGAACAATCGGACGATTTGTTTCAAACCAACAATCATTTCCATTACCGGGACCTCAAAGTTATGGCTCACATCCATTTGGCGTCAGCCGCGCCGGGGGTTCGGGTGGCTATCCATAGGCGGGACTACCGGGTGGGCAGTCAGTATTGGCTTCAAATGCCTGAATACCCCTTAACTGGCGGCCACTTAATGCGCTACCGACGGACAACTGTCCACTCTTTACCGTCGCCTCACGAGACTCAATGCCGGGACTATAGGCGCCGTCGGACTGCGGGTCCGGACCAGCCGTACTCACTAACCGAGTGTATAGAGGGCTGTCGGGCGCGCGCTTTGGCCGCCCAATGGCCGGATCGATGGCCCGGACACTACTTGGCCTACAATACAAGCGCTGACCGTTATATCGTTGACTCTCCCCTTATAAACGCAGGTATAATAGCAATCGATGCTATGGTTGGCGCCCACTGTAAGCGTTTGTGCTGTTTTAGCACCGATTGTCGCCAAGAGTATTACGAGACAGATGTAGGCAAAATGCCCTTGGTGCCACCACGTGTGATTTCAATCGTAGCCCCAGCCGTCCCAGACCTGGTCTATACACATACGCCTAAAATACTGTTTAAAGAGTTTGTCTCATATATGGCTTCGTATATCAGTTTATGGTTTGGTTTCTCTATTATAATGCTATCAAATGTTATACACGTTTGCTATCGTTATGTGCGACAGAAAATCAGCGTTTATTATTTGAATGTTAAACAGATTTATCATAATTATCATAGAAATGTTAATTATAATATTGTGACCAATTATTTATTTTTTTAAAAAGTTATGTAAAATGGTGACCTGGTCAATGGGGCCGGCGTTAGCACTAGGGTGGCCATTGTACTTATAACCACAAATAATCGGTGAATATTTTGTTGACATAATTCTGGTATAACTTGTTGTGTATTGACAGTCCTATTGTGTCCCAAACCGACTGATCCGTAATAATTAGATCTCATGCCGTAAACCATATCATCGTTTGTCACAAACAATACATTATAACCGTTTATGTCATCGAAAACATGAAATAACTTAATAGTATTGATGTCAACATTATTTACATTAGTTCTCACTTCTCGTTCTTGTCTTTCCTGAGATGTGTTTTCCATCTCTTTGTCCCTCACTTTCCCATCCATTCGCTGACTTCGGCTTATATTTAATACTTGTTATATTTAATATTTAATACGGAGGCAGAACGATCCTATAAACCACATTATTCATATCAGAATAGTGGTTAAAAACGACATTTTGTTTTAATTTTTAACCACAATTCAGTATGAATAATGTGGTTTATAGGATCGTTCAACTACGCCCTCCCCCCGCCTCCCCGCTCTATGGGATTTAACATGGGATTACAGCTTAAGTCTATGGCTATACTTTAACATNCATGGGTAATGCTAATCCTATGGAGCTTTTTCCATAGACTTAACATGGGCTAATGTTATCCTATGGGTAATGTTAATCCTATGGGGAGAGTATTTTCTACGAGAAAGCGAAATATAAAGGGAAAGGGTAGTTTTCTACATGTTAATCCTATGGGATTAATGTTAAGTCTATGGGAGAATGCTTTAACATAGGTTTCTATGGCATTACAGCTTAAGTCTATGACATAGATCTAACATGGGTAATGCTAAGTCTATGACATAGGGATAACATGGGTAATGCTAAGTCTATAAGAGTAATGTTATATCAATAGGATAATGTTATTTCAATGGAGATATACTAAATGAATCTGACATAATAAATAAAACTAATTGTTGTCAAAACATTTTAAATTTTCAAAATAATAATAGTGAAAGTATTCCAACAATAGCATTAAAAAATTTAAAATCTTTGATGCATTTCCCGAATTGTGGTTAACGTATAGCATCGCTGTGTGATCCTTGTTTATACATAAAATTCTGCATAACTTAATAGGCTGCTCAAGTAAAAATGTTCATTTCGGCCATAACTCAAAAAGTAATCAAGATAATTTGAATCTGTCTTTAGATTATAATAACACTAGTCCATGTCCACATCTCACATAAAATTTATTAGGATTGATTAACATTATAATTATTTAATTTAAAAAAACTGATAAAAAATTGTTCAAAAAAGTTATTGAGATAGGAAAACTTTTTTCTCGTTTGATAAAAGTCATAAGTGTCTATGTAATAATGATAGCTACACATCTCCTCTATATTCTCAATTAATTATTTTATTTCTATGAGCTGTACTTTTTTCTAATAAATGGTAAAACCAAGGCACCTAATGGCCAAATTTAATTTTGTCAATTTTTTAAATGATCTTTTTTAAAAAAATAATTCTTCTTACAGTCACTGCACTACACTGTAAGTTTAAAAATATTATTGAAAAATGTCAAAGTTGAATTTTGACCATTAATGCATTGGTTTTAAATTTTATTAAAAACATAATCAGAAATTTCAAACGTTTAATTATATGTTTAGATTATAGAGGAGATGTGTAGCTAATAAATTTTATGTGAGATGTGGACATGGATTAGTGTTATTGTAATCTGAAGACAGATTCAAATTATCTTGATTACTTTTTGAGTTATGGCCGAAATGAACATTTTTACTTGAACAACCTATTATATTAAACTTATATAATGTATAATAAAAATATCAAATTTTATAGCAATAATTATGTTTAAAAACAAACAAAATCTGTTCAAACACTTAGCTCCTGAAGTGATTTTATAGTTTAATTTAATGGCAAAATATTTATACTCATTATTATGTAAAAATGTTGTTGAAAGTGAGGCACAGATTACTCGTACCCACAGATTATGGATGTTATAAGTTATTGTGTTATCAGAACCTATTTAATGGCCGTTCCTATTGCCAGGTTGTAACCGGAAAGTTACGTACGCCCGACTCTTCCGTCACGTTATTGCCGTTGTGTTGATACGAGAGCCTGAGTCTCATCTTCAGCTGATTCTTATTTGGGTTCAATACTCTGATCTCTTGCACAACAGCACCCGAATTGTTTTCGCCGATTCTATTACTCGAGGGCGGCATTAGTTGTAATTGGATTTCCTATCCATTCAATCAATTCAATGGTTAATATGGTATCAATTATAACAGCAATTATAGTTCAATTGGTCATACCTTAGGAACAGCGGCTTGGAATAGGAAGTCATCCATTGGATGGGGACTGGAATTGGTGGCCAACAATGATATGATAGTTAGAGACGAGTTATCGGCGGGTCTTTCGAAAATAAAATCTATTTTTAATCCATTCTTATTAAAAGCGACGATCGATTCAATCGAGTTATTAATTTGTTCAATAGGTTTGACATCATTTATAAAACCGTCAATAATGCTATTGAGTTGCGTATCGTTTGCTATATTATTATTGACGAGCGGAGGAATGCCGATCGGGTTGTGATCAAACGGTTGGCTTGGATTCAAGTCGAGTTCTTCTAATAGGTCTAAAACGTTATTAGCTGTGGATTGCGATATTGGGGTTGATTTAATTGTTTCAACACTTTTTGCGGGCGAACCCAAGTCTAAGAGTTCCAGAAGGGCTGAACTGCTCGTCTTATCGGTTGATTTAGTGTTAGTAGTGTTGCTATTAGTGTTATTATTACCGAAATTATTGGGCAAATCCATGCCATTGCTATAATTTTTTTCAGCGGTCTTTCCATTTTGAAGGCCATTGCGTTTGTCTTCCCTAACTGTTATATTCTCAAACATAGCACTCAATTCTCTGACACTCCCTATAGTGGTCACGGGTTTGGCCACACCTTTGACCGAATCATTGCCTCCAATATTTGGTAAAACTTTTTTAGGTTTGACTGCATTGTTGTCACGTGGAGTTAATTGATCACGTGATTTGTTACTTATATTACTTTCAGCAGAATTATGAGTATTATTTAATTTACAATTTAAAAAAGTGTAGAAAAATAAATTATTATGAGTTTGAAGTTTATTAAGTATTTCATTTAACTCCTTATTGTTTGCAATAATGATTTCTTTATGGACTGACCAATAGTTGTAGTCCTCGAGTACTCGACCACTGGTCGGTCGCCTATCAACCGACGACTCGTGCATTGATATAATGACTTCATTTAAATGTTTGAATTGTTCCCAAAATATAGTATCAGAGTACTTACGAATTGGATTACCTCTGAAAATATAAAACATTAACGGTATTTATTATATAACAACACTCGTAATCATTTAACCATGAGATAATGTGGGATGGGAATGATACAATAAATCACTTTGTTTAAAATAAAATGTAATTAAAAATACATACATTGTGGTCAATTCAAACAATATTAATCCAATGATTCCAACGCTATAAATATCTGCTTTGAAATTATAGTTCCTATAGAGACCCGCTTCGGGTGCCATATATTGTGGAGTTCCCGCCCCTCGAGTGTGGCTCTGGGACTGAGTGTTGTGTTTTGTGGCCAAACCAAAGTCACCCAATTTTAAAAATCTATTTTTCCTGCTATTATGTAATATCAAAATATTGTCGGGTTTGATATCTCTGTGAATGATTGGAGGGTTTAATCCGTGTAAATATTGCAAACATTCTAAGAGTTCCCGAAGTATTTCGCAAGAAGTGAAATACTCGTAGATATTCATGGCTTGAGTCGATTGTCTGCCAAATACTTGTTGTTTATCATTGAGTACAGACCCGAGTGTTTGCGAGCAGTACTCCATCACAATAAAGAGATGCATCGCTTCTATCCATGAATTGGTGTATTTGACCGCAAAGTCTGAGTCAAGAGATACCAAACTTTTTACTTCATTAACAATTCGTGTTTTCTTTGTTTCGCTAAAATCTATGCAAAGTTTTATTAAATTTTGTAAATAATTTACATTCAAATAAAACAATTAAACTTACCCTCATATTTCACTTTTTTAATTGCATATATCTTAGCATCCCATCTGTGTTTTGCTTTAAATACTGTCCCAAAAGCACCAAAACCTATGGCCGACAACTCAGTGAATTGGTTAATATAATTACCATATATTTGTTCAAAATTAATTGTATTGTAACTCATTTGGCATTCATTAGCGTAAAAGTCAACAAAAGTGTTATCATTTGTTTCACTAATTTTAAGCTCTTCTGAAACCTCACATATTTTGTCATTCATTAAAATACAAATCAATTTATTTCTATTAAACAAAAATGATTTAAATTGTTGTAAATATTGTATACAATGTATTGATGATATAAATTTTGGATCTTTTATAATTATTTCATTACTCTTTTTGTAATATTTTCCATAAAAATATAAACCATTGGATTTCAAAAAATATGTGCCATAAGTATTACAACAAATTGTTTTGACATCATTTATAGTTGATATCACTCGTGGTATTAGTACTTTGCTATCAGTAATATTGTGTCCCAATATATTACTACTGTTTTCACCCCAACTGAAGACAAGTTCATTGGATGTGATGGCAAACGAAGAGTTGTTATAACAATAAATGTTTTGTATAATAACACCACTCATAAAATATATCTCAAATGGTGTACAATTATAATCACTATAATCTCCGCATCCAATTTGCCCCCAACTGTTGTCACCCCAGGCATACACCCGGCCATCATTGGTCAGCACAAGTGTGTGATGAGTACCACAACTGATTGAATCAACATTTTTATTATTAAAATATGATATCAATTCTGGTTGTAAACATTTATGATCAATGTTATCACTCCTGCCTAACTGTCCCCTTGTATTACAGCCCATACCATATAATTGGTTCATATTATTCACTGCTAATACAAAATCCAATCCATTGATAAAGTATTGAATGTTTTTATTACATAATTGTTGTATTAATTGTGGCGAAGGTATGGGACTGTTGTGTCCAAAACCAAGACATCCATCGCTATTATGGCCAAAACCATAGACCATATCATCATTTGTTGTAAATAATACATTAATACTGTTATCAAAATCATAGAAAACATGTAACTTTGATATATTTTTACTAATATTTGTTGAAATGTTATCATAAATGTTGAGTTTCTTTAATAATTCGCACATTTTGTTACAAAATTATTTATAATTATTTAATATTATTATTAACTGTTAAACAATTATTATTTTTAACTAAACTTTGAATTATATTAGAAAACAATTTAATAAATCTTTAAGCATTAACTTATTTTATTTAAATTGTAATTAACTTTCAACTGATTTAACAAAGAAATGGTTTATAAAATGTCTACCAATTGTGTAGTTATTAATACTTTAAGGCAAACATTTTAACGCCTTTCATAACAATCAGTGAAAACCATTGGAAACACAGAAGTTATGGCATATAATGTGATAATAACTAGAGTTATAATCTTTATTGACTTAAAGAATTCTTACAATTCGTTAGTTGTATTAAGTTTTGGAAAAAACTCATTAAATATATATATATTTCTAATAAATTGTATAACAAATTAAGTAAATATAATGTTTTTTTAAATTAATTTAAATGTTATAATATATGGCATTGTTTTGCTTGATATTATTTTACAAACAGAAATCATTTACTATTTATTAAAGCAGACAGAAGAAAAGTTCACCAAATACAACAGTAACATACAATAGGGGGTGGGTAACAGAGTTTGTGGACTGGGCTGACGGCTAGTTATATTAATTATAAAAGTTTGTTAATATCGCTATAATTGTTAGAATAATTTCAATTATAAATCACTCGTCCATATATTAATTAGGTTTTATTTTCATGCATAGCATAACTCGTTATTGTTTAAATTGCATCGTTACATTTAATTTTTGTAAAGTATAATATTATATAAAGCTTTAGCTATTAATATTATAAAGCTTTATAATATTTTAAAAATATAACATATTATTATATTAATTTACATGCTCTTATAAATTAATATCGCTATAAATCAAATTTATAAATCAATATTATTACAGTAAATTAAATATTCTCTTTATTTCATTATATTAAAATGGAAACGCCTAAATAGCAATAATGTTTATTAAAATTGTTTATTATTATTCTTATGTTTATTTCAATTTTAATCATTTTAATGCCAACATTTATAAATTTAGGTTAAAATAAAACACTTATTAAATTATAAAACAACAGGTTTTAGAGACAATATCTTAGAGTTATACTAAACTATCTATAATAAACATGGTTAAAGTAAATGATTTAAGTGTCCTTTTTAAAGCTAAACCATTTTATAGACTATTCTGGATATTCTGTGCGATGGGATGTCTGTATCAATGCTACACAATATGTGACATATATTTCTCGTACAAAACTACAACTTTTGTTAATTACGACAACTTTTTTACCATGTCATTCCCGGCGCTCACCATATGTTTGGACTAAATGGATGTCTTAAGGGATCAATACTTCAGATAACTAAATATCACTAATTGTCAAATGGATAGGCATTTAATGATGGATAGAGTGAACAGCTTTTGCAGTAATCATACGATTCGAGAACAGTTGGATGTATTTGCCAAGAAATACGACGAGATTATAGGCATGTGTTTTATAGCAAACCCAAGGGCTATAAACATTGAAGCTATTACTGCCTTTGATTTGTTTGTTGATTGCACTGATATTAATCCAATTGTACAAACAATTGACTATCGATCGTAAGTGTAATTTCTAATATAAAATAGCAATATGAAACAATTAATAACAAAATAAAAATTTTATATCATTTTTTGACATAGATTAACATTAATTTATATTAATTTAATTAAACATTTTTAATCAAACAGAATGTGTTTCACATTCATGTCTCAATCTAACGGACAATCGGACCAATCGTTTCAAACGGACAATCATTACCACTAGGGACCTGAAAAGCATGTTAATCGCAAAACTACTGGTAACCGCACCGGCGGTACAGGTGGTGGTCCATCGACGGGACCAACTCATAGGCAGTAAGTATTGGCACCGATTCGTTGAATACCCACTGTCTAACAGCACAGCCGGTAAGGCCTACTATATTGACTACCGGCGCATAACCGTACGCTCACTGCCGGCGCCACACCAGACACAGTGTGTCGACTACAGCGACCGGCCCTTTAAATCATTGGCCGATTGTATACAAGACTGTCGTATGCGGCAATTGATAAATGAATGGTCTGCAATTGGCCAGGACACTACCTGGCCTATAACACCACGTCCAATCTTTACATTATAGATAGACACGGTATAAATCCTGATAGCATAGTACTGGACGCTCGCATTGGGAACTTATGTAAGCGCCTGTGCGGGTACAGCGCCGGGTGTCTACTAGAGTACTACGTGACCCGTGTCTATAAGCAAATATTACCGTCGGACGGGTCAATAGTGTCGATGACTTCGCCCATTACCCCAGACCTGGTCTATACACATACGCCAAAAATACTGTTTGAAGAGTTTGTCTCATATATGGCTTCGTATATCAGTCTATGGTTTGGTTTCTCTATTATAATGCTATCAAATGCTATACATATTTGTTATCGTTATGTTTACCGTAAATTTAACATTTACTTTTTAAGCATTAAACAATTATATCGTGGTCATTTTACAGTAATTCCTGGAAATAATATCATTATCAAATTATACCCTAGTGTCACTAATGTGCAGCGTATGGTCAATTTACGATAATTGTATGTTGATACACACATTAATTTTATTAATTTGTTTAAGTTGTATTCACTATACAATACGTAATACATTTGTATTACTAATAGATAGAGTTAGATTAATTTGACAAATTTTTTTGTAAAGTTAATTTATAACTAAATCTATTATTGTACCCAATATATTTTGCACTGTAATTCAATTATTTATATTAATTATTATATTTTCAAAATAAATTTGCAATTGTTTTTTAGTATAATGTATTAATCCAGTAATATACGATTTGATGAATGTGAAAATTACAGCATATCGCATATTATTAATCATATTGTAAAACATACGCTCTATTAAATACGCTGTATAAAATATTATATTTTGTCAAACATTTGTAATTGTATATTGTAAGTATATTGTAATTGTATTAACCAAATTTCGATTGACGCAAAAGTGTTTTTCTGTTTATTATCAAATATAATTAATATATACAGAATAAATGTAATATTATATTTTATTATATAATCATAAATACAAAATACATAAATAAATATAACAATCAAATAATATTACAAAGCAAAAGTATAAAGACAAATGACATTCATGTAAAACATATTAGCATCCAACAAATTTAGCATTTTAATATATTAATGACAGTATAATATTTACGGCATATACATATACGGTAATATAATTTAAATATATTGTCAACAAAGCAATGATTAAAATATTGATGATTAAATATAATATATTTAGTAATTTATTAAATCATTTTATTTACTTTTTGTGGATATAATATTTATTGTTTTTATTTTACCCATAATAATTATTTCATAATAGTGTGTTCTTAATAAACAAAATATACATGAAAATAAAAATGTTAATAGATTTACATAGTTAAATACATTACACTCAAATAAAATGGCTAAATAACTAAGATTATAAATTCATTAAAAATCAAATCATTTGACAGATTATTCTATATATTCTGTGCGATGGGATGTCTCTATCAATGCTACACAATATGTGACATATATTTCTCATATTAAACGATAACATTTGTTAATTACGACAACTTTTCTGTCATGTCTTTCCCGGCGCTCATCATATGT